CAGAGAGACATCACAAAAATCAGAATATTGCCTCAGTATCTCAGGTTCCAGATCCAACCCTCTTCTCATAGCAGCTGTCTGAGGAGTTCCTCTCAGAATGCGGGTTGCCAAAGCCTTGGCAGACAACTCCCCACGAACATGGCATATTTCACGGAATCTGCTGGCTGTCAGTCGGGGTTTGCGTACCTGGCTCCACAGCTGGCATTCTGACTGCATTCTTGTTTCTGCTTCAATAGCAGCAGACATCTCCTCTGACACAATCAGGCTGTCCAAATGACATTGTTGTATGTAGTTGGGCTCAAAATCAATGGGAAATTTAAAGTTGTAACCTTCAATAGGCAACTGAGGAAACTCACTGGCACCAGGGTGTTTAATAATATCTCTACTTAATTCTAGAGGGCACTGGTAAGAAAGCACAGACCCAAATGGCACAGGGCCAAATTTAGAGTCCACCAAATTAAGGCCCTCAAGCCCGTGCAGCAATTTGCAAATCCCTGGTTGTGGACGGATGTCTTTCAGTTTCTCAGCACTGGCCATGACGTGAGGATCCGGAATAGGCCCTGGCATGAAAGTGAGATATGTCAAGTTTAGATTTCATTAAATGCCACCTTATCTTTTTCACTAAAAAAGACAACCACACTCATCCAGTCTCGTACATGCTTCTAATACAAATAAAAAAATATCCACTGAAAGTCTATATAAAAAGTAACAAATAATAATCACTTTTATGTTTGTATTATTTTAGAAATGCACTAAAGTCTTTGTGCTCTAGTACAGGCGGGGGCTCATTCAGACTCACCATCATAGGCTCGGTACAGTGTGCACTTCACACCAGCTCTGACACTTGTTTTTTTCTTAGCCGCTGGTTTACACACCGCCATATCATTGGTGGCCTCTGGTACAATTCCCTGTGATATAATAATGATGAACAATACATTGTCAAAAGTCAATACAAACTGCAAAGTTCTGCATCAGTGTAACAAATAATATCTGACCTGTGTCCTAGGCCGGTGCCAGGTCTGCAGTGCGCTGGTGCATGACAGAGGCAATGGCACTGTCTTAAAGCCCATGGTAACATAGTGAGCACTTTGAAAAAGAAGTGCTACTATGTGATTACATAGTGCTTTCCCAGCAGAGCAGGAACATGACATGTGATTGAGTACCACAGGAACCTCTGCAGAGTCTAGTGTAACCTGTTCATAGAGACATAACAATTAGTGCTGTACTTACAAAACATTTTTTCTGCGTTTCATTATAAACTACTGTACACAATTTTCAAAACCCAATTTCTTTTTTTAATTAAGAAAAATTGGCTGTTCTGAAACCTTTGACAAGTAGTGCCAACACTTATCGAAAATTTGAACATTTTGAGTTATCACAGAATCTTTCCCAGTCTTTATTGCCGTCAACAACCCACATCGGTTTGTAAGAATTTCGTTGTGTATTAAGTTTAATGATACAAAATCAGAGCTCAGACTGAGAAACAAACTGATCCACAGTGGAACTTTGTGGAATCATTCTTATTAAATCTGCAACCGCAGCAAAACACAACAAAAAGAAAACGTATCTATCTTAACCTATCTTATCATAATGTTAGAGAACTGTTTATCTGAGAAACCTGAAGCCGATGAGCCTCCTCATTTTTCTTCATGGACCTGTAACATCGCCCTCTCACTGTCACCTCACCGTTAACTACACTTGAGACTGTTTCAATACAGTGATTGGGAGAAAGGGCGCAGCATTAGCCATTAATACATTACTGACTCTTATCTTACGGTCGATACAAACAGCAGTAATATTAAAAAGAGGCTGCAAAACAGAAACTCGTCAGCTCATAACCTTCGCTAGCATAGGGCTAATTTAAGCTAAATAAAGATAAACACGTACCTTCATAATCAAACAGGTAACCTTCAACGAAGAACTTGTAGCCTTTATCAAGCTTCGATCTTGAAGTAAGGGACCACTTGTCAGCAAGTCGTTCTACGTCGTTAAGTCGTATTGGTGGCAGATGTGAAAGGGACTGGGTGAACTCCATAATGATGTGCTACTAGCTAAGCGTTCCTAAGCGACACCGGATGTAAACATAACCTGCATCGCGGCAGAACGGAAGTTGTCTGACGTCACGTGAAAAGGGCCTATGCTGGATTGACAGCATGGCCAGTGTTGAATGTTTATCCTTTTAAGCTTGGAAAAGAGACCCTTAAACCCAGATTTGGACCACACATCCACTCCGCTGAATAGCAGGCTAGTGATTGCTTTGCAATGCTTGCAGTTAGCCACTGATTTCTTCCAAACCACTCATTGTTGAATTTGCGATTTCCAACTTGTTGTGTAATGTTTATGTACAATGGTCGATGAGCACCGATACGTTTATCTATAATTTATCTTCATATGACAATAATTGAAAAGGATTTGCCAGTAGATTGTCGACCTGATTCATGATGAATGCTGCTAGCTTGCTAGCTAAGATTTTGAAAGTATGATGTTGACATGATCAGTCCAATCAAAGCTACTGTAGACATAATTTTATCTGTGGCCAATGACCTTGAGCCTTCTTGGACGGGCACTTCTAATGTAACTATATGGCAGCACCCAAGGGAATTTAATTTCCAAGCTCTCCCCATAGATCTTGCGGTGACGTAGTGACAGAACACTGAGCCAATCATGGCTACACTCCGCATTTTCCGCTGGCTGCCCCACCATCACAGAAAGCTCTGAGATAGGCTGAAACACCTGCATTTTGGAGCTGCCTTACTCAAGAAGCAGAAAAGAGACCACGTTAGTATGAGGCTTTATTAACTCAATGATTTTGTATTACATTGTTTGCAAACTGATATGTGACACGTATTAATGCCCTATCTACCCTGAATGACTGGTGGCCACTGGTATTCCTTTGTAATCCGTAATGGACTGTAGCCCCTGCCACATGCGGCGGGCGTCGGAGCCTGTGTAATATGATTCCACCTTATTCCTATGTTGTCCTTTCGCTCGTTTGACTCTGCGGAGGTCATAGCGGGCCTTCTTGTACTTATTCCTGTCTTCGGCAGTAGCATCAGGGTTGTCTATGATAGCTCTGTGGTAGCCCTGCTCTTTAGTTTAGCTTGCATTTTCTAATGAAAATGCTGTATGTATTGGACTGAACATGGACCCAAGGTGTGGCTATTTAGGCTCTGCATAATATCAGATGATATATGTTCAGTTAATTGTCGAACATTATTAGCCTATTATTATATTACATCACATTTTTATTAGTACATGATCGTTATAGCCTTTATCTTTATTGGTAGATTATTGCAAAATGTACAGTTTTTTTCTCTCCATAATTGAATAGCAAGCCACATTTTTTTAATGCACAATAATTAGTTAATAAAACAGTAGGCCTATTTGATTTTAAGTTACAAAAACTCAATGCACGCGCAGTATATCGTCAGTGTGGGAGTGGCTGTCCCTTGTGCTGAAAAAACTGGCTTGTGCGCTAGGATTTTAAAGCGTCGCCACATAGCACGAGCTTGCCATTCTTATTATACCTCAGTGGAGCGTACCCATCGACAAACAAAGAGGAGCCGTGTCAGAAGAACCATTTCTCAAGACGTAAGATTTTATTTTCATTGCATTGTTGAAATATAAACTTGTGTTTTTCATAGCATTTTCATAGTTTGTCGGCGACCTAAATTAGTGATATGTTGCATTCAGTGCACCTGTGCTGGATAGTGGATACAAAATTACATGTAACCTAAACTAACAATACTGAAAGTTATTTTATTTTTTATAGCCTGTAATAGTAATGTTAGTATTAACCATTTTCATATTTCCCAATAGGCATAAGAAAGAACAAACTACAAAAGCCTATAACCTTATTTTGTCCATTAAGCTGGCAAGGCCGGATAGCTTATTTTAAATAACATATATAAATGCACACAATTAAAAACGGATAACTTACGAATTGAATGTCAATGGTGTCTATATAATGCTTTGCCATGTTTTCTTTTATGTAAATTCTTGGCACATTATCTCAGATATATTTAGGAGTGCATGACCCAGTTTCTGGAATAGTCTCCATCGTTCGCACAGATGACATGCCGTCAAAAAAGGGCATGTCATTAGTGAATCTATATTTATATGATTAAAGAATAGCTAGATGTCCCAATCGAAATCGCCGGTCATTTCTCAAGCCCCATGGGCGTCAACCACTGCACCAACATAGGCATCAATGAGGCTTTTATATGTCTACGTCATATGGTGAATTTTCTCTGTTGCCTACTCTCTTGATATGATATAAATGGGTGTGGTATTGAGGACCGTTGATGCTCTTAATCAGTATTTGACAGTTCTACATAAAAACATGACCTAATGAATAAGAACGATTGGTTAAAGGGATTTTTTAAATCAATTTTCTAGAGCATCTTGAAACCGGGACCTTTATCCACCGATAGCCTATCTTCCTTACCTCATTTAATATGTCAACCTCCTGACAGGGTGGGGACATCTGTACCCGAAATGTTGATTTCATGCGACAGTACTTGCATTTTAACAGTTGATTTCATGCTACAGTAATTGCATTTTAACAACAGGATCTTGTCTCTGTCGTCCATTTCCACTATGTGCATTTTACATCATTTTGAGTGTTAAAAATGTTTAACCACAGCCAGACTTGTGAGAGAAGTGTGTAGCCTTGTTATTGTAAAACGACATTAGGCTTTTTGTGTTTATCATTTGGTTTAGGAAATTCACATTCACACATACAGGACCATTCACATTTGCTTTCCGATATGTTGTGCAGTTGTAAACAGGTAGCCTTATGCAACCCTATTACTGGAAATGGAATGTTGAGGGTGCCCCAAAGCCTAAAAATACGATATTTAAAATAGCATAAATGTTCCCTTGTATGCCCTCTTACACTTGGGGAACCTATAATTATGTGGTCACAATTAACTTAGTAATGTTCAAAAAGTATTATGCACATCACACAAACATTTCAAGATTAGTTCAGATTACAAGGAATGCCTAATCAGGTTATGTTCACAAATGTGCGACTCCACAGTATTGCAATCTAGGCCTAGAACTTGCACTTAGGTTTTAGAACAAAGAACACTATCACCAGAAAGCTTATGTAACCTAAGTTTGCAAACACTTAGGTCCAAATGAGCAACAAGGATTGACCTAAATCTGCATCTCAAGAAAAAGCTACTTTAATCCTGTGCCCATTTGTTCTTATGTAATGGCATAGACTTATTTTAGCCAGTCAAGCCAAAACTTTCAGGTTATCTCCTACCCATGGCATCTACAGTATAGGGGCCCTTTGGAATAAATGAAAAAAGATCAGGGAGCCATTCAAAATTATAGGGACATAGTACTGGGTTGCTAAGTGGAGTTGAAATATATGTAGGGACTAAGATGAGAGCAGGATGTATGTCTAATCTATTTCAAACTATGGTCCCAAATCACATTTTAATTTGGCCTCATTCCTCTTTTACATTCAGATAAAAATGCTGGTGAAATCAAACAGCGAGTATGACTCCTTCCTCTACTGGAGACAGCCCATCTCCGCCCCGGACCTGTCCGAGCTGGAAGACCTGGGTGTGACCAAAAGCAAGCCAACCAAGAAGAGCAAGAAGGCCACCAAGAAACATAATGCCGCCCTAGCCAAGCAAAGGAAGCAGCAAGAGGCCGAATTGTTAGAGTACACCACCTTCAACTACTGGAGAGAGCCTATCCCCAGCATTGACCTCCTTGACTTCAACCTGCTTCTGTGAGGACCATCCCATCTCATCCTCCCAGTCATAAGAACCTCCTTCTCCTCACACTCACCCTATCTGGATAACCATGGCTTTTGTCAAGTTTCTGGTCCACCCAAGAAGAAGTACTGAATCTGTATGTCTGTACTGTGCTTTTTTTGTGTATAACCTCAGAATAATACTGAAAGGATGAGAGGTAAATGTTTTAACTTGCAGGTGACTGGCACTGTGAATGACAGTATAGGCACTTCTGCTTAGGTTTTCTCCACATGCGGGCTACATGACTCGATGGCTAATGTCAACGAACATAACTAGGTAGAAATCGCAACAAGGTCAGCCTTTAAATTAATATAAATAGTTCCATTGCACACTGACTGCAAGGCTCCTGCCTCACATTAAGGATTTACGCATTCATAATTTGTATGGTAACTTGAGTATGCCACATCATATTTCTGAACACTAACAAATGCAAAGTGCTGCCTCATTTGAACTTAGGGAAAATGATTTCCCTTGACCTAAAACAACCTTGAAGAGTAGTGCCTACCTGAGCCTTGGAGTGTCTGCGTGTAGTATGTATAAGTAGGCAAAAGTAAAGCAAAGCACCTCCACACAGAACAGATATTGTACAAGCTCTTAGGGAGCCACAAACATGACTGTCTTTTGCGCTTTGTATTGGTTGCCTTCTGATTTGTTTCAGACACTGAACTGACTGGCTCAAACCCACCCAATTAATTTGTATTTCTTTAGTATGCTGCTTTCAGTCTGCTCTGAGTAGGCCTCAACTGAGTGCAATGACTAAGGGTAAATGTTAGATTCCACAATGCAAGTTGTGCAAATGCAGAGCTGGTCAACTGTTTTTTTTATTTTCTGCAGACTACTGTACTGTCCGATGTTTGTTTAATTTGAATGTCAAGGAAAGAATGGATTGAAATGTTTAATGAAAGGGAACTAAATGTTTTTAATTGTGTCAGACTGACGTTGCACGTGGTCTTGAAAGTACGGTAGGTCAAGTTCTAACTTAGGATACTTTTAATCGTAACGCTGACTTTTTGTGAGATCGTGCAATGAGCAGTAAATTCCCAAATGTGACTCATCATTCTTGGTCTGACTTTTCTGAAATAAATGAAGATGAAGATATCCTGTGCATATCAATCCACTTTGTTTACTGTGAGAAATAATCTCAAACTAAAGGGCTTAAACATGCAGCATTTTTTGAAGAGATATAAGCATTAATCACTATTTACTTATTTTGAAATAAATGGAGAAGCTAACGTCACATTTCACTTACAAAAACATGTCGTGGGCGAGATGTCTCGTCAAACCGGCTTCAGTGTAAAAACGACCATGCACCTTGTATGCATAAAATTGACAGTTTATGTGTACGGGAGGTGTTAAAAAATAATGTGAGTTCAATCTTTTATAAGCTTCTTAAACATCAACAGCCAGAGTAGGCTATGGACTCCTGTTTTGTCCTTCAGACAGCCAATAAAATATATGGTGACTTATCCAAAACGAATAGCTTTTCCAGGATTCTTATTGGAATAATACTTCAACAGCTTCCTTTGGGGGATTTGGTATACAACAATGCTACTGGTTTCGTACAATAGTAGCCTCTGTGAATGAAAAGCTCTGCCTATGACAGTACATTACTCGGAGACCATTACACTTTGATTAAAATACCTAGATTCACTGCACATTAGTATTCATTGTAGCCTATTTACTTACACTGACACATCGGACAGTAATTACTGTATAACTGTAGATATTGAAATACCAGTATTTAGTTAATTGCATTGGTTTACTGCATTTGTACAATGAATCATAAAGGAATAGCCTACAGCTATTTCACAGTAGCGATTATTGCGAACGGTGACATTGCAACATCCCTTGCAGGTCTCGAACCCAGGTTTCCCAGCCAGTAGGCAGACCAGACCTGTTAACCATTTTGGGGGATCTTAACAGGCCTACCTAGGCAAGTGTCATTACACCACAGAGTTTCTAAACCCAGATGCGCAACATCTAGAGACTTCCGGGAACGCTTGCGAAACAGACCAGGCCGGGGTTTGAGAAGTCAATGAGAGAAGTGAAAAAGTATTCCTTCTCAAAATCTAAAAGCACAACCTAGATTCGAGCCAATGTCTTAAGTAGTTGAACATGTTATTACTCCAACCTCGTGAAGGTGATTTATTTTTATTTTTTAAACAACTTTATATCAAAGGAATGCCTTTGATTTGATGGCCATTAGACACGATGACGTGTTTCTACGCATGAGCTTTGCTAGCCAACATCGCCCCCTTTCCCACCGGCCGACCCCTGGGGGGGATGCGCCCCACAGTTTGGGAACCACTGGCCTAGGCTACTAGCAGCTAGTATATTGAAAAAAAACAGCCTATTAGATCACAAAAATTGGCTATTAATCAGTCAGAAACTATGTCAAATGTCTGAGTAAGTATCCTAGCAAGTAAAACAAAAAATCCAATGGAAATAGGCCTAGCTGCCTGCGAATAAAGAGTGCTGCTCAAAGTGCACATTTAACAGAATTTTCCCTCGCAAACATGCTTTGAAACCCTATATATTATAGTCTGGGGAAGGGGTGCAGGTCTCATCATGGGCGCTGATATATACTGAACAAAAATATAAACGCAACATGCAACAATTTCAAAGTTACAGTTCATATGAGGAAATCAGTCAATTGAAATAAATTCATTAGGCCCTAATTTATGGATTTCACGACTGGGAATACAGATATGCATCTGTGGTCACATATACCTTTAAAAAATAAGCCTCAGGAATTAATTCTGGTATTTCTGTGCATTCGGATTGCCATCAATAAAATGCAATTTTGTTAATTGTCCGTAGCTTATGCCTGCCCATACCATAACCCCACCACCACCATGGGGCACTCTGTTCACAACATTGACATCAGCAAACCACTCGCACACACAACGCCGTATATGTGGTCTGTGGTTGTGAGGCCGGTTGGACATACTGACAAATTCTCTAAAACAACGGAGGCGGCTTATGGTAGATCCCAACTGCACGCTCCCTCAAAACATAGTGACAAAACTGCACATTTTAGAGTGACCTTTTATTGTCCCCAGCACAAGGTGCACCTGTGTAATGATCATGCCGTTTAATCAGTTGCTTTATATGCCATACCTGTCAGGTGGATAGATTATCTTGGCAAAAGAGAAACGCTCACTAACAGGGATGTAAACAAATTTGTGCGAAATAAGCTTTTTGTGTGTATGGAAAATGTCTGGGATCTTTTATTTCAGCTCATGAAACCAACACTTTATTATTTTATTTATTATTTTTGTCATTTAGCAGACGCTCTTATCCAGAGCGACTTACAGGAGCAATTAGGGTTAAGTGCCTTGCTCAAGGGCACATCGACAGATTTTTCACCTAGTCGGCTCGGGGATTAGAACCAGCGACCTTTCGGTTACTGGCACAACGCTCTTACCCACTAAGCTACCTGCCGCCCCTTTACATGTTGAGTTTATATTTTTGTACATTGTAAATTCAGTATCGCCTTTTTACCATAATGTGTTAAGGTGGGCATTGAAGGAGAAAAGGCTTATATTGGATCTGGGCTTGCTACTTTTTCATGCGTCCGCCCACAAGAGGGTTCAAAAGGCTCGGTTTCCACCTCCGGTGTCGAGTAGCCGCCATCTTTGTATTCGTTTAAATACAAAAATATTATTTATTTTCATTAACTAAGGTAAGGAGAATAGAAAAACAATTGGGTATAGTCAATGTACTTATGTCTGCAGCCTAAGAGCATTTATTTGAAGCCTTATCGAGGTAAGAACTACACAACGTTAGCATGCGTCCATTCGGGATTCCGCCTCCAGCTAACGTTAGCTCTTATTAAAGTTAGTCAGGCATTAGCTAGCTAACTATGTGGAGCCTTAGCTCTGGCTAGTTACGAGACCGAGTAACACAGCAACGTGGTAGTTTCGAAGCTGGCACATTGTGCGAAAATCCACATTAATCACACGCACCAAACAGTTTGTAGAACTTTCACATTTCTTAGAAGTGCGTGTTCTTAATATGAGATGGTATAAATACTCGCACGGTAAAGGTGATGGCGTCTCACGTCTTTGATAAACAAGCAATTATAAATTAATCGAACGTTAAAATCTGAAAAATTGCGCGAAACCATTTGATGAGGCGTGCGAGAAAGAATGCTGTTAACCGGATGTGGAAGTAGTTTTTTCTCTTCGTGTAAAATAGGAATTTCTGACTTCCCCCGGAAAACCAACAACTTAATATCAAAGAGTTTCCTGTCATGTATTTAAATGTCGTGGTTGTTAAATAATGTGGGTGAATGATTTAACGGATAATGTAACACATGGCCGCCTCTTGTTCGTTTTCACCACCGAGGCGCATAAGATGGCTACTCATCGTCTCCATCATCATCACGCTTTTGCAATGAGAGCCTCATGTTATAGTGGGCTTTCATGATGTAGCAATAATAAACCAACTAGCTAGCTACAATGTAACAAACAAAAACAAAGTGCACATCAAGCTGTTCACATTTTACTAACATGTTACTTTGTGTCAAACAAAACACTGCATGATTGTTTACCGATGCATGATTCCGATCAACACGATTTTCAACAGTATACCAAGCCTATTATTCCCTGTTGGACCTTATGGAAAACTACCATCACTTATTATATCAACATTGAGTGATAGCAAAAGGTGTCGAGTGATGTACGTTATATCTGTAAGATAACCACTAACTTTATAACATTAATTGTGTTGTGCTCAAATAGGACGTCTGATAAGCATGTATCCGGATTGGATCGACTCATTCGCCTATATTGCGCGAGTCTATGCAGCAACAATATAAACCAGTGTCGTTTACAGAGTCCTGTCGCCCAGACACTCCACAGAACGAAAGCGTGCCCCTTTGTTGCCGTGTGTTTTTTGGTCTATTTCACGATTGATTTCTCACATTACTAACTCCAAGTTATAAATCAAACCACATTTTATTTGTCACATGCTTCGTAAACAACAGTGCAGAGAGAAAAATACTAACACGAGGAATAAATACACAATGAGTTACCAGATAACTCGGCTATATACAGGGGGTACCACTACCGAGTCCATGTGCAGTGGTACGAGGTAATTGAGTTAGATATGTACATATAGGTAGGGGGAAAGTGACTAGGAAACAGGATCGATGATAAACAGTAAAAGCAGCAGCGTATGTCATGAGCCAAAGTTGTAAATTCCATTACTACTAGAATACTTCCATGATTGCTGTTGTTAAACAAAATTAATCTAGCATAGCTAATAACGTAACTTTATGTATGTAAAATCTGAAATGGGATTAAAACACATCTAGCTATGTTCATTTGTAAAAATATGTACAGGGCAGTGTCCTCTCATTTGATTAAGCTAGACAAAAATGCATGAGAACCCTAACCCATTATTGAGTTTCCAAAGCTGGCATAAAAGTACATACTTTATCAAGTAGGGCCCTGTGTTTTGGTTAATCATGTCATATGACCTGGATTTTAACCTATATTTTAAGCCTTTTTCAGAAATGAGAATTGGACCAAGAATGAAAGCAATTGTCTGAGGATGATGCTGGACCATCTGACATAAAAAGAAAAGGGGACAATTTGATGAAAATGCTTTAAATAAAGGTTAAAATCCAGGTCATGTGACACAATTAACCAAAACACAGGGCCCTATTTATGTGTACACTATATGAGCTGTAACAGGTAGGAAGGCCTACATTGTGTGAACTGTTAACTTCACAACCACCTAATATTGTGTATGTAACAGCACTGCAACAGTTGCATACGTGTACAATCACATAGGGCCAAATGCTGCAAGCTTTGTAATTGTGTTGTCTCAGATGTCGCTGGTGGATTTGGGGAAGCGACTACTTGAGGCTGCACGGAAAGGCCAGGACGATGAAGTCAGGACACTCATGGCCAACGGGGCTCCCTTCACCACAGACTGGGTAATGATTCCTCTCTTAACTTCTCTATCTGGGAAATGTTCATTATCTGCTTCAGTTTAACTAGTTTTACCCAACCCAGGGTTTTGGCTGGTTTGTGTTATGCAAAAAAATATATGGAAGATCATAAGTAAAAAGTTGTCTGAAGTGCCAGTCCAGTTCAACTGTATGGTGTTTTGACTCTTTGTCCCTTTTTCTCTTTGGCACTCTGAGCAGCTGGGCACATCCCCATTGCATCTGGCCGCCCAACACGGACACTATTCCACCGCCGAGGTGCTGCTCAGGGCAGGGGTCAGCAGGGACGCCCGAACCAAAGTGGACAGGACTCCCCTGCACATGGCTGCTTCAGAGGGCCACATTGTCATCGTGGATCTATTAGTCAGGGTACACACGTCTCTTATCTAAGGTTTTAGCTGTTCATTGTGTGTTTAGGCCTGAAACCTAGGTTGGGTCTGACCTGGCACCCTATTCCTAATATAGTGAACTACTTTTGACCAGAGGCCATTTTCAGATGCGGAGTCCTAGTCTTTCTCTGACCAACATTTATTAAATCTAAGTACACTAGAAAACATGGATACATGTGCGAAGAAAGCAGAAAAACTGCCAGATCTGCCAAGTGTCTTACCCTGTCCCCCTCATTTCTCCTGGGTCACTCTCTACAGAGTGGAGCAGACATTAATGCCAAAGACATGCTGAAGATGACTGCTCTCCACTGGGCCGCCCAGAACGGCCACCAAAGGGTAGCAGAGACGCTCGTCAAACATGGTGCCGATGTTCACGCTCTCAGTAAATTCGATAAGACGCCATTTGACATCGCAGGAGACATCCAGAATGCAGACCTAATGCTCCTACTACAGGTGAGACCTTAAGTTGTATGTGGAATCTTATTGAAAGAAGGTTTCCATGTACTATTATAGACTCCAAAAAAGAAAAATGTACCTAAGGATTTGCTCCAAAAATGTGCATTTCTTATTTTGAACTTCTTTGACATTATGCTCCTTTAGGATTACAATGCATTTACATAATTATCCAGATACAGATGTTTTTGCATTGCTTCTTATTTCAATGCAGCACTTTACACAACTGTTCTCTCCTTTGTTTGTAGTAACTCTGATGATCTGTATCCTGGCAGTCTCCCCTGTCTGTGGTCTTGTGTGTATGCTCTGATAGTGTTGTTGACAATGTGTTTATCTATAGGAGGGAATGCAGAACCAGGTGAACATGAACGCAGAGGCTGGCATGACTGGGAGCTCGGCCCAGCCTCAGTTTATCATCCAGGGCATCCCAGGGCTCCAGGGGGGCGTGGTGAACCTAGCGGACCTCCTCAACAACGCTGCCAAGGCCAACTCTGGTAGGCTCCAGGGGGGCGTGGTCAACCTGGCCGACCTCCTCAACAACATCAACTCTGGTAGCTACTGTATATATATATATATATAACACACACACACACCAAACCTCCTTCAGTTAGGCTAGGGAACATACTATTTAAAATGACTGGTCTTCTGACAAAGGCTTTGTGGCTGTTATAATCACAGGAGGTTGGTGGCACCTTTAATTGTGGAGGACGGGCTCGCGGTAATAACTGGAGCGGAATCAGTGGAATGGTATCAAATAAAGCCATGTGTTTGATACCATTTGCGCCGCTCCAGCCATTATTATGAGCCGTCCTCCCCTCAGCAGCCTCCACTGGTTATGGAAAGAAAAGGCCACCCAGTTTGGTGGGGAAAAAACCCAGCTGGTCTCTCCAGTTAACAGCTGCATCTGAGTTCAAGGATCCCCCTGCCTCAGAGCAATATGCTCCACGCTTCTTTGTTTCCTCTAGTCTAGTGCCTAGTCCCTGGCCTTTATCACTCTGATCTCATAAGATGGTAAGGTCTTCTGATGCTGTGTGGTCCCACACAACGGGGTAGTGACCACCACAATGTGAGAGATGTGGGAATCAAAGGTCATGCAGAAAATAAACATTGATTCTCACCGATCAGATGTAAATACTTTCTCAAAGCTTGAAATCCTTTGCACTTTAACATGTTACTACTGTATGTAATGCTTATTTAAATGAGAAGATTGAGCCAACACTTTGACTGCCACAAAGTACAGTCCAAAATATGTATACAGTTGAATTCGGAAGTTTACATACCGGTACTTAGGTTGGAGTCATTAAAACTCGTTTTTCAACCACTCCACAAATTTCTTGTTAACAAACGATAGTTTTGGCAAGTCGGTTAGGACATCTACTTTGTGCATGACACAAGTAATTTTTCCAACAAATGTTTACAGACAGATTATTTCACTTATAATTCCCTGTATCACATTTCCAGTGAGTCAGAAGTTTACATACACTAAGTTGACTGTGCCTTTAAACAGCTTGGAAAATTCCAGAAAATGATGTCATGGCTTTAGAAGCTTCTGATAGGCTAATTGACATCATTTGAGTCAATTGGAGGTGTACCTGTGGATGTATTTCAAGGCCTACCTTCAAACGCAGTGCCTCTTTGCTTGACATCATGGGAAAATCAAAATAAATCAGCCAAGACCTCAGAAAAACAATTGTAGACCTCCACAAGTCTGGTTCATCCTTGGGAGCAATTTTCAAACGCCTGAAGGTACCACGTTAATTTGCACAAACAATAGTACACAAGTATAAACACCATGGGACCACGCAGCCGTCATACAAAGATCTTACTTTTTGGAGAAATGTCCTCTGGTCTGATAAAACAAAAATAGAACTGTTTGGCCATAATGACCATCGTTATGTTTGGAGGAAAAAGGGGGTCTCTTACAAGCCGAAGAACACCATCCCAACCGTGAAGCACGAGGGTGGAAGCGTCATGCTGTGGGGGTGCTTTGCTGCAGGAGGGACTGGTGCACTTCACAAAATAGATGGCATCATGAGGAAGGAAAATTATGTGGATATATTGAAGCAACATCTCAAGACATCAGTCAGGAAGTTAAAGCTTGGTCGCAAATGGGTCTTCCAAATGGACAATGACCCCAAGCATATTTTTTATTTTTTTTTAGTCATTTAGCAGACACTCTTATCCAGAGCAACTTACAGTTAGTGAGTGCATACATTATTATTATATATATTTTTTCATACTGGACCCCCGTGGGAATCGAACCCACAACCCTGGCGTTGCAAACGCCATGCTCTACCAACTGAGCTACATCCCTGCCGGCCATTCCCTCCCCTACCCTGGACGACGCTGGGCCAATTGTGCGCCGCCCCATGGGTCTCCCGGTCGCGGCCGGCTACGACGGAGCCTGGATTCGAACCAGGATCTCTAGTGGCACAGCTAGCACTGCGATGCAGTGCCTTAGACCACTGCGCCACTCGCCAAAGTTGTGGCAAAATGGCTTAAGGACAACAGTCAAGGTATTGGAGTGGCCATAACAAAGCCCTGACCTCAATCCTATAGAACATTTTTGGGCAGAACTGAAAAAGCGTGTGCGAGCAAGGAGGCCTACAAACCTGACTAAGTTTACACCAGCTCTGTCAAAATTCACCCAACTTGTTGTGGAAGGCTACCCGAAACGTTTGACCCAAGTTTAACAATTTAAAGGCAATGCTACCAAATACTAATTGAGTGTATGTGAACTTCTGACCCACTGGGAATGTGATGAAAGAAATAAAAGCTGAAATAAATCATTCTCTCTACTATTATTCTGACATTTCACATTCTTAAAATAAAGTGGTGATCCTAACTGACCTAAAACAGGGAATTTTTACTAGGATTAAATGTCAGGAATTGTGAAAAACAGAGTTTTTAAATGTATTTGGCTAAGGTGTATGTAAACTTCCAACTTCAACTGTATAGGCTTAAACATGAACTATTTCCTAATATAAGAATGACGGTCGACACTAAAAGTTAACCTTTTCTCCCTCTCTTTGACCCTTTGTCTGACAGCAGGTGACTCAGAGGAAGCCATAGCAGCCAATTCTTTGGACCCCGGCAGCATCCAGCACATGGTGAACGAGCAAGGTCAAAGGGTTATCACCATAGTCACCGACCAACACGGCAACCTGCAGACTGGAGGGCTTGGTCAGCCGTTCTTTGTCACCATGCAGCACGGACAACCGAGTAAGAGAACTTCTCACTTTTAGTCACTTAACGGTGCTCTATTTCAGCCTGTAGCCACTTCCTATAGCCCCTATCCATTTGCGAACAGTTTCCTGGACCCTACTCGTGGACTGAAAAAGCATGCTCAGTGGAGAATCTCAATTGAAAGCTCTTTTGAGTCTAGGAGTAGGCTTTCTCTGGGGCTGGGAAACCAGCACTTGGTTTTCTAATGCTGCATTCATAACCAAGTGGGAAGGTGGTATTTACCACATACGACTGGGAAAATCCACTATCGCCCCCTCCAACTGGTAATTTCTAGTGGGAAACTCGTCTATCATCCCTGAGCTCTGACTTCTCGTACATGCTGAACTCTGACGTCACCTACTAAGGAAATTACTTTGATAAAAGCATTTTCAGAAGTTAAATGCAACAACAAAACATTATTTATAAAAAACAATCTATTAATATGGTTGATGTAGCTTGTTGGCCATTAGCCAATCTGCGTTTCTTAACGAGTTCAAATAATGTAAATGCATCTAACTGGTATTTGTGACTTCACAACTGGTAATTACCACCTTCCCACTTTGTTATGAACACAGCATTAAAGTAGTAGAGACGTTTAGCCATATGGTGGAATGTCCACTTACCCTACAATAGGGTTTCCCAAACTCGGTCTTGGGCACCTCCCTGGGTGCACGTTTTGGTTTTTGCCCTAGCACTACACAGCTGATTCAAATCATCAAAGCTTGACGATGAGTTGGTTATTTGAATTAGCTGTGTAGTGCTAGTGCAAAAAAACTAAATGTGCACCTAGGGGTGGCTCCAGGACCAAGTTTGGGAAACCCTGTCCTACAAGAAACCTTATTGTTGTGACAGTGTGAACCTTGTGTTTGTAGACAACAGTTTTTAGCTTTCTGGCAGATTTGTTTTGTGCTAGTTGCTTTGTAGAACAATATGTGTACTACTTCATAATTTATGTAGTTTAATAAGTAACCTATAGTCACTTTCGATACTGTATGTTTCTCCAGGCTCTGAGCTGTTGTTGTCTGTTGATTTGCAGTGTTGGCGATGCCAGCCAATCAGGTGACAGAGGTGGTTGAGGAGGAACCCCAGCCCCCGCCTTCCCGCAAGAGGAAGCTGGAGGCCTTGGCCAACCACATGGAGTCTGGAGACACGGTCGGGGGGGCACATTTTAGATCACTTTTCTCTTGTGCAACACATTGAACTGATATGCTTCTGCCATTTAACTGGTTTCTGACTCAAGCAAAATGTTATGTTCATATATTTTGTATTGAATATTGCTCTAGAGATTCTAGAAGCTGCTGTGACATTTTTGGGGGGCTTAAATTAGAAAACAAACCCTTTAGATTATTTGGTACTTTGATACTGTGCAGTTGGCACAAGTGGGGTGCAAGTGTGTGACCTGCAGTCTAACCTTTCTGTCCTTCCTCCTCTCCATCCATTTCTCATCCATCTGTCTAGGAGCAGTTACAGAGGCAGCTGCAGGAGGCCAACCGGAAAGCCCAGGAGTACCGGCAGCAGCTGATGTGCAAAGAGCAGGAAGCAGAGCAGTACCGTATGAAGCTGGAGGCCATGTCGTACAGCCATACCAACGGCACCTCCGAGCAGGAGGAAGTGGTTGGGGGCGAGGAGGAGGAGGAGGTGCAGGAGGAGGGGGTGCAGGTGGAGACGTCGGGCGGCGAGGAGGTGGTGCTCCAGGAGGGAGCCATCATCATCAAGACGGAAGAGCTGGTGACGCTGGTGGAGTCGGCGCCCTCCCACACCGAGGTCATCTTATAACATCAGACAGACTGATGTCACTGATGGAAGGAGAAATGGACACACGAACTCAGGCGACGGGTCAGCCTGTCAGCGTTTTCATAGGTCTTTAAGTTTTTCCCCTTCTAATTTTCCTGTTTTGTTTTTGTACAATATTTACTTACTCTTTCTGCCGTTTCAGTAGTTTTTTTCCCTCAATCATGTTTTTTTAAAACAAGTAGCGAAGCGAGGAGCTGAATATAAGGAGGTGCGTCACAGGAGGTTGGTTGAGGAGCGGCAATGGGACCTGCTCAGCCTGTGACTCTAAGGTTGCCTGCCTGAAGAATGTAAATGCTACCTGGGAGAAACGGGGCACTCAGTCTCTGATATCTATGGCGTCTGAGACACGTCAAGGGTGTGGGAAATACATTATCATGTTGCCAACAGCATATCATAAGATGCCCAAGACTCAAATCCAAGGTTTATAAGACATGTCCATCCATGGTGCCAGAGGACAGGTCTGTGGAGAGAACGCTGTTTGTTTTGTTCAACTCCTTCAGGTCTCAAAAGTCACCCTCTGTCTCACTCTTCCATCCTACCACCCACCACCATGGGCTCCACTGCAATGGGAATGGTATTTAAGAATGCCTATTTGAAAATAATCATCTTACAGGACAAATGACAGGGCATGTAGTTGGCAACAGTCATTCCCAGCATGTATTGGGCTCATCATTCACAATGTAATAATGAATTGTTTCAAAGTTGTGAATTGCAGTGTTTTGACTTTCATGGCACCACGTTAGCTTTGTCCTCTGTGGTTGGTGGTTGTTGTGGTCGGTGCCACGTCCATAGTGCAGCGGTGATTTATAGGTTTACTGTTGCAAAAGTCACAACTCTCCCCCCGCTGATGTCGATACAAAGAATAACCTCCTACCATTTCAAGGCCCCTTTGGCTTTAATCACTAGTAGCCCCACTCCCCAAAGCCGGAGACAGACAGGAATAAGGGTGTCAAATTAGCTTGCTGTGGCCTTCTGACAATGACTATTTCTCATGTCCCGACACTTGTTTCTACTACAGTTACTGTGCCGTGATACCTTTTAAGTTTGTGTTCTCCCAAACTGAATGAAAATGTGATGGACAACTCCTGGGTTAACAGTCATCTCTCAGGGTTGAAGAGTGTTATAGGAAAGTCCTCTCTGCCTGCTATTCAGTAAGGGCCCAAACTAAACTTGAGATGCCAAAGCTGACTTTTAAATTGTGCCTACATTTTGCATTGATGTCAATGGGGGATTTCCACTGAAATTAGAGTTAAGGTTGTGGATCTCAAGTTCTGATATGTCCCGAATGTATCGGATGCGCTTGCCCAGGTTTTAAATTACTTTAGTGGGTCTAACAACAATTTGATGAGTTTAACCATGTTGAGCGACATAGATAGATGGATATATATATATCACACACACTCCAATTTTAGCATTAAAATAATGTTTATGTACACTGATCCATGGTCAGTTTTTGAGAGGAGAGTACATCTTGTACAATGAATTTTCCAGCATGGCTAATTGGGTGGACAAAATACACCACACAGTTTTGAGTTTCAGAATTGAAACCCCCTCAGACAACCTCTTTACTTACCAGCCCCAATACCTCTACAACACCTTAAGTTATTGTAGGAAGAGGCCTGCTGTTTTAAGTGTATCTGAATGCTTTGGGATGTAGACTGCCTATATATAAACTATAAACACATCGTCCCTTTTAGCTTAGCATCTCTTTGCAAGATTGTATAGGTGAACATGTATGCACCAAATGATGAAATAATCCCATTTACCATGATTTGACAGGTTTATAGATCTATCTACCCGTTGTTTCGCTACTGCTCTCACAGTTAAGGGCACTTGACCGAGCCATGAATGACTTTGTGTGGACTTTGCTTGCTTTGATTAAAAAACTATGAAAACTGTCTTTTAAAATGTTACAACCGGTATCTGGAACATGCTTCGAAGTGTTTGTTGGATAACTTCAGTCTTCTCAGAGATGGATAACTGGTGGCTCTGTACCATTTCCTCTGTTTTGTTTTATGCATTGTTCCATATTGACCAGCAGGTGGCACTACAGTTTAACAGACTGGTCTGTGAAATGAAATTGAACAGTGATCATATCTAAACTCCGCAAAAAAAAGAAACGTCCTGTCACTGTCAACAATTTTCAGCAAACTTAACATGTGTAAATATTTGTATGAACATAACAAGATTCAACAACTGAGACATAAACTGAACAAGTTCCACAAACATGTGACTAACAGAAATTGAATAATGTGTCCCTGAAAAAAGGGGACCGTCAGTATGCTGTGAGATGTTACCCCACTCTTCCACCAAGGCACCTGTAAGTTCCCAGACATTTCTGGGGGGAATGGCCCTAGCCCTCAACCTCCGATCCAACAGGTCCCAGACGTGCTCAATGGGATTGAGATCCGGGCTCTTCGCTGGCCATGGCAGAACACTGACATTCCTGTCTTGCAGGAAATCACGCACAGAACAAGCAGTATGGCTGGTGGCATTGTCATGCTGGAGGGTCATGTCAGGATGAGCCTGCAGGAAGGGTACAACATGAGGGAGGAGGATGTCTTCCCTGTAACGCACAGCGTTGAGATTGCCTGCAATGACAACAAGCTCAGTCCGATGATGCTGTGACACCGCCCCAGACCATGACGGACCCTCCCCCGCCAAATCGATCCCACTCCAGAGTACAGGCCTCGGTGTAACGCTCATTCCTTTGACGATATACGCGAATCCGACCATCACCCCTGGTGAGACAAAACCACGACTCATCAGTGAAGAGCACTTTTTGCCAGTCCTGTCTGGTCCAGCGAAGGTGGGTTTGTGCCCATAGGCGACGTTGTTGCCAGTGATGTCTGGTGAGGACCTGCCTTACAACAGGCCTACAAGCCCTCAGTCCAGCCTCTCTCAGCCTATTGCGGACAGTCTGAGCACTGATGGAGGGATTGTGCGTTCCTGGTGTAACTCGGGCAGTTGTTGCCATCCTGTACCTGTCCCGCAGGTGTGATGGTCAGATGTACCAAACCTGTGCAGGTGTTGTTACACGTGGTCTGCCACTGCAAGGATGATCAGCTGTCTGTCCTGTCTCCCTGTAGCGCTGTCTTAGGCGTCTCACAATATGGACATTGCAATTTATTGGCCTGGCCACATCTGCAGTCCTTATGCCTCCTTGCAGCATGCCTAAGGCACGTTCACGCAGATGAGCAGGGACCCTGGGCATCTTTATTTTGGTGTTTTTCAGAGTCAGTAGAAAGGCCTCTTTAGTGTCCTAAGTTTTCATAACTGTGACCTTAATTGCCTACCGTCTGTAAGCTGTTAGTGTCTTAACGACCGTTCCACAGGTGCATATTCATTAATTGTTTATGGTTCATTGAACAAGCATGGAAAACAGTGTTTAAACCCTTTACAATGAAGATATGTGAAGTTATTTGGATTTTTACGAATTATCTTTGAAAGACAGGGTCCTGCTGAGTTTCCATTTCTTACCCTCAATTGAGTCGTTTTGCTACTAATACAGAAAGTGAAACAACTGTAGAGTATCACACAGTGACATTGAAGCTTTATTAAATGCATTTCTTTTTCTAACTCATCACTATGACCTATAATTTATGTAAAGTGATATTTCACTTGTACTTTCTACCCGGATAACATAATTGAAAATGAAATACAGGCTCAAACCTGCAAATTATGTGGATCTTTGGGTCAAAGGCCCTGTAACTCTATATCTTCACTGTAGTCAAGATCCTTCACTCACTAAGATGGCACATCCCAAGTTTTCCAACTGTTTGGGATGTGCCATCTTACGCAGCTACTCCTGGCACTGCAGTGAAGTTAACTGTATTGTGAAGCTTTGAATTGATCTGACTTTTACCATAAAGCATCTCACCAAAGCATCTGAAAGCATTTTCATTTATGATATAAATGATATAATAGAATATACCAGATCAATAATTCTAATTCTATCTCTATTGGGATACAGTAGACTACTATTTTTATGATAAGGGACATTAAAACAGACCCCATTTTGAAATCAGAACACTATCAGGGACTTTCCTCTTGACAATTTTGAGAAGATAAGGAACGATGATCTTGCCACAAGAATGGAGTTGTGTAAAGAATAATGTAGGATAGTTTTGTATAAATGTGTTTTTTATTCCTAGAGAAGTTTATGGACTATTTTTAAGAATCAAATAAATGCAAAGTCTTATAAAAGAGAGAGAACAGCTTTTTTTTTGTAGCAACATGCGGGTTACCCTGCAATAACCTGTGTAATAGATGCTTCTAGTAGGTCATTTCTGCCTGCTGCTGTAACCCCTGTTTGCATCTATGTGTTAAAGGAAAATTCCACCTAAAAATGATATTTTGGTATTTATTTCATTAGTCCATTGTTGATATAGTCCCAAAATGTTTTGCATATCAGAAATCAAGGTTTTCAAGATCTATAACTTTCCAAATACAGAAATACAGCTTTATTTCTGCATTTTGAAAGTTATACAGTGCCTTTGGAAAGTATTCAGACCCCTTGACTTTTTTCACATTTTTTAGGTTACAGCCTTATTCTAAAATTGATTGAATTGTTTTTTTCCCTCATCAATCTACACACAATACCCCATAATGACAAAGCAAAAAAGGGCTTTTAGAAATGTTTGCTAATTTATAAAAAATTAAAATGTATTTATAGTTGAAGTCGGAAGTTTACATACACTTATATATGAACTGACTCAATCAATGTGCAAATATATCAATAAGTCACAAGATCAGAAACCCGGTCATCTGAAGGCGCTTGATGTCTGTATCATACAGTTTTTATAAGACTAAAGGACATTAGGTAACACTACTTATCACAAGGCATGAAAGCCATTAAAACTCGTTTTTCAACCACTCCACAAATTTCTTGTTAACAAACTATAGTTTTGGCAAGTCGGATAGGACATCTACTTTGTGCATGACACAAGTAATTTTTCCAACAATTTACAGACAGATTATTT